AGTAACAAGAGGAATGTCGCACCTTTCCAGTCATTCGGGTCTGGAATGTCCTTGGGGCTCCTGGCGAGTGGAGCTTGTTCTTAAGCCCCTGGAATTTGGGAGAACACTGTCATCTTAAATATCCAGAATGGTCAAACCTTTTGTAAACATTCAAAATGGCTGCACTCTCTGGACAGGGAAAAGTCCACAGCTCAGCCCGCCTTCTTCTTCACTGCTTCCCCTTTTATTCTCCAGCCACCAGAGCAGTTCTCCATGCAGTCCCTGGCTAGCAGGGCCAATTTTTAGGTTAATTCTTAGGTCCTACCACCACTTGGTAATATCCAAGCTGTCTCTGCCATCAGGATCACTGCCAGACTGCAACTCTGTTTCTCTCCTTTTTTTGGTGTTTTCACGCAAATTCTTCTACTAGTTGAAGTTTAGTCCACTTCTATATCCTTCCCTTCAAGGCTCAGGGGTCCGGGATTAGCTTCTGTATCTGTGTTAATTGGTTCCCCTTTTCTTTGTTGAAGAGGGTCTGTGCAGTCTTTCTGCCTATTCTGCCATCTTTCTGGAACTCTCCTCTTACTACTATATTCTTACAGATTCTCAATACTTAAGTTTTTCTGATGAGCTTGGTGGTGATGTTAGTGAATATAGTTTTGGTTATTGTATAATGAAATGAATCAACATTTGGAAGAACTGCAGTACTTAGTAAGCTGATATTTTCCAAGTGACCAATACATGATGTTACAAAATCATGCTTGGGTGAAAAGATCCATTCAAAGTACAGTATAGACCAGTGGGTTGTGACGTATGAGAGTTCAGAAAGTTTTTTGATATGGTTTCAAGTTCTGCATTATAACTAAGAAACTACCACTAGTTAGTTGAGTATTGGCATTATGTCAAAAAAGAATATCTGCAGTTATCTGAAAAGACTATTAAAATGCTACTCCATTTTTCAAATGTATATCCATGTGAGGCTGGATTTGCATCATATACTTTACCAAAATATATCTCAGCAGATTGCATGTAGAAGCAGATATAAAAATCCAGCTGTTTTCTGTTAAACCAGGTATTGAAAGCATTTGTGAAAATGTAAAATCATGCTGTTCTTCTCACTAGATTTTTTTTTGTTTTAGAAATTTTTTTTTCCTAGAAATAACATGTTAACATGTAAGTGTGTTGTTGTTGTTGTTATGTGCTGTCGAGTCGTACTCGACTCATAGCGACCCCTCTTCAGGTTTCTGAGGCAGTATCACTAATGGGAGTAGATTGCCCCATCTTCCTTCTGAGGAGTGGCTGGTGGGTTTGAACCTTCAGCCTTCTGGTTAGCAGTCAAATGCTTTAGGCACTATGCTACCAGAGCTCCCTGTAAGTGTATTACACTTTTCAAATTAATTGGTAAATATTTTTAAATGACTGATTGAATTCTTAATATGGTTAGTAGTGATAGATGTAGCACATGTCAGTCAATTCTTTGAGGTCCTCAATAATTTTTTAAAGGACAAAGAGCCCTGAAACCAGAAAAGTTTAAGGACCAATTTAAGAGAATTTAATTCCAGAACTAGAGTTCTGTCCTGTGGTGGAAATGTGGTATGCTCTAGCTAAAGGCTTCTTTGGTTTGAGGCTTTCAAGAAGGAATTTATACAATCATCCTTTGGTATCCATAGGGCATTGGTTCAGGGACCCCAGGATATCCACAGATGCTCAAGTGCCTTATATAAAATTTGCATATAAAGTACATGAATTCTCCTGTACACTTTAAATCATCTCTAGATTATATAAATACCTAATACAATATAAATACTATGTAAATAGAACTTGATGCTCTCTCTTAGCCTTTGAGGGATTGCTTTGACTTAATTGTCCCCCTCTCCCCGCTTGAATATTTTCTCTCTGTGGTTGGTTGAGTCCGTTGATGAGGAACCCACATATACAGAGGGCTGACTGTACTTTTTTCTAACGAGATATCATTGCTGGTAGTTCTTAGTCTTCCATTATCATAGATGATAGTCAGCATTTACAAATAAACCAACTGCCTCACATTATGGGAAGAAGTGTCAGAAACCTCAGTAAAGAGTAAAGAGTAGTGGGTTTGCATCTCATTTCCTTAATCTGTCCCCTTTTCTCTCAAGTGCAGTTTCCTTATTAGCACTGGAAGTCTAGAGTCTGACATGAGAGAAGTGAGAAGACTTACCTAACCCATAAACTGGATATGAACACACCTTGTAGATTGATTGTGGGTCATGCAGCTTTCTGATTTATTCAGTCTGAAGCTCTGTAGCTGCATTCTCTATTTAATACTCAACCTTTTAACTCTCATCAGTGTGGCACAAGGCTAAATATCATAAGACACTTTTCTTCATTTCTGTTAGTACTTTCTCTTCTGGTACTTAAAAGGGGGAAGTAGAATGCATGCAAATTCTTAAAGCCATAGACAACAGCATTCTGTTGTGCTATTTATTCCAGAGAATTAGAAGTTGTAGAAAGTTCAAAACGGGTCTCTTAGTTTGGGATCAGTGTGATTTTCTTTGTGCATATAAGACTCAATTATTAAAAAATGATGTCCTTTTTTGGCTTTTATGCATAGTAGAGTTAACTCACTGCCATTGAGTCACTTCTGACTCATAGTGACCCTCTTTGGGTTTCTGAGGTGGTAAATCTTTACAGAAGTAGATTACCCAGTCTTCCTTTCACAGAGTGGCTGGTGGGTTTGAACCACCAACCTTCTGATTAGCAGTCAGATGCCTTAGGCACTATGCCACACAGTAGAGTTAGATGATAAAATTTAAATGGTGGATATTGGCTCAGTGCTAGGGGAAAACATTTTTAAAATCTTATGTAAAAGTGGCACAACATCAGACCTCTAACTTCAAGACGAGGGGAGCGGGGAGAGAATCACCATCAACATCAGCCTAAAGCTGATTCATATAAGGTAGAGGTCAGTCATACCTCCACTCTCCAATTTTTTCACCAATTCTGACACCAGCCATACCCCCTAAACCCTCTGTACTCCTCTACTGGGTTTAATAATCCATTACAGTGGCCACGCAGAACTTACAGATCGTACCCAAAATTAGGAGGTTTATTAGGGAAGTAACAGGTTACAGCTCAGGATTGGGGTCAACCTGGAGGTAACAGGAACACAACTCCAGGATACAGGTCTTTGATTAAGACAGCTGCTGCTGGCTATGTCATCAGGCAGGCCTCTGCCACTGGGCCCTCACTCTCAGCTTCGGCCCTTGCTCCCCACTTGGACAAGTGTTACAAAGCTCTTTAGCTCTGCCAATAAGGGTCTGGAGTCATCCTACTCTGCCAGCAGCCCTCCTGCCCAAAGGCACTCAGCTCTCTAGCTCTATGGGTCAGCAAGACCACTGTGGCTACCACACTCCGTGGACTAGGAAATATACTGTACTGTCTTGGTGCTGAACTTCTGGTTCTGCTGCTGCTGTTTTGCTGCTGCTTGGCTCTGCCATGCTTGTTGCTGCTGCTTGGCACTTTTCATGCTGGCATGCCATCTCTCCTTGTTTTTAGTGTTACAGCTCCTTCTTTCAGTCTCCTGGGTCTAGGAGATTTTTAGTGCAGGGATCCTGGGTCCAAAGGATGTGCTTCACTCCTGGTTCTTCTTCTTGATAGTAGTGAGATCCCCCTCCAGCCTCTGGGATTGGCTCCTTTTAAGCCTAGCAGGATGGCAAAAGTGACCAATCCCTGCAAGGGTTCCATGTACCTTATTTGCATTAGCATGCTGTCCAATCCCCTCGGTGGGCCACAAGTACCTTACTTGCATAGTCTCACCCAATCATTTTGTGGGAGTTACAAGACCGTGGTTAAAAGGACTATATAATAGTAGTTTACTATGTTAATATGATTTCATATGCTTTTTGATTAGCTAGTCACAAAATGTGGTGCAGTAAATTAGTATTCAGAGGCTGTAAATCTTTACAGAAGTAGAATTGCTCCATTTGGCTTCGATGGAGCAGCTGGTGGGTTTGAACTGCTGACCTTCTGGTTAGCAGCCAGATGTCTTATCCACTATGCCATCAGAGCCCCAATCTAAAAGCGTATGAGGTCAGAGCATTCAGAGGCCTAATTTCAGTCTCTGAACAAGTAAAACACTAATCTGCTGTACAGCATTGCTTAATCCAGGAAAGTAGGTGTATTTGAAGGTAATAATGTTTGGAAATCTCTAAAGAGATTTTGGCTTTAAAAATGTCTCAGATTAAAATACTTAATTTATGAAAGACCAGCTATGTAAAAAGGCCCTCTCTCCACCCTTCCCACACTCCTTCCAAAAGAAGAAAAGCTGTATTAGGATTTTTCCATCTGAATATTAATATGTTAGAATGTAAAGGTCCCTTTCGTTAATTTTTTTTTTTTTAGTTAATTTGTAGGGTTGCTTCTTATACTACCTTTAAGTGTAGTCTGTTCAGAGAAGAATTAAATGTGCTTTTCAAACAAACTTGATATAACTGCTTAACTAATGGCTGTTTTATTCCAAACATCAGGTACGAACCTAATTCTCAGACTATTATTTAAGTTTTAGACTTTGATATTTGTACAGGAAGAGCCTTCTTCTATGAAAACTTAAAAATACTTTTGGGAATGGTGGTTGCTGAGGATGGTGTATAATCATAAATGTTAACGTACGTCATGCAGAAACTTAGTCATGGAATATGTTGTCTGATTTCTCTCCATTCCCTACCTTGATTGCAGAGAGGTACAAAAAGCAGTCAACACTGCCCAAGGACTGTTTCAGAGATGGACAGAACTCCTCCAGGACCCCTCCGCAGCAACAAGGGAAGAAATCGACTGGACCACCAACGAACTGAGAAACAACCTCCGGAGCATAGAGTGGGATCTAGAGGACCTGGATGAAACTATCAATATCCTTATCTGTGGTGTCTGTGCCATTTGGGATACACAGACAAGTGGACATGGTTTTATCAAATTGTCTCAATTATGTAGATTACACATTTAAAAAATAATAATGATTGCTGTTGTTCCTGTTTTGACACATCTAAAATAATTGCCCAACAAGCTAAGATAGAGTAGCCAAATTCTCTAGAGTGCATGTAAAATCCTGCGATACTAAGGCAACATAGTATAATGGTTATGAACCCAGACCCTGGACCCACACTGTTAGTGTTCAAGTCCTGACTCCACAAGTTACTGTGGCTTTCGTCACATTGCTTAACCTCTCTGTTTTGGTTTCCTGTTCAGTAGAAAGATAGGGTAATAAATATACTTAGCTCATAGGGTTGTTGTGAGAATTAAACATGTAAACAGCATAGACGATGCCTGGCAAATGGGAAGCTTCTATAAAAGTATTATCTATCCTTTCATAGAGATATAAGGTTGGGCAATCGTACTTCCGTAGTGATACTGCCTCGGAAACCCAAGGAGGGGTCGCTATGAGTCGGGGCCGACTCCACGGCACATAACAACAACAACAATATTATAAAATTAGAGATCAAAAGAAAACCCTTTTATAAACTGTCATTTTCTTGGTTAAGAAGTGATGTTATAATGCCAGTCTCCATTGCAAAGACATCTTGACCATGAAACTACATTTAATAAAAGCCAACCTATTGTGCTAATTCATGTTAAATAAGTCCACTGATCTGACTGACCAATCAGAGAACTGTAAAAGCAGAATTATATGGCCTTTTGTTAATAGGAAATCTCATGGGATGAGATTTGGATGGAAAATATGCTAATGGCATGTTTTTTTTGAGTTCCAGATTTTTGGGGTTTTTTCCCCCCTGTAAGTGAGATAAAACATCAAGGAAACCAGCTTTTGTCAGGATTACTCTGTAGTCAGCACAGGTATGTAGACAGTTGATATGTCAAACACATAATTTTAATGAATCATAATGACCCAGGTATCTTAAATTATTAAGAGACAAATATGTTCCCTAAAATTAGTGGAACAGAATATGTGAGGGGCAGAATTAAAAGCCACTACAGAGAGATACATCTTTCTTTGAAGCAGAGGGAAGTGTAAAAGATTGGAGAAGATAGAAAAAATGTGCGATAGAGAAGAGAAAAAATTTAATAGATATTCATTATTCAGCAACTATTTATTGAGTGTACTGTGTACCAGGCATTTTGTTAGTTACTGAGATTAGATTGATAAGCAAAACAGTGTACCAGCCCTCATGGAACTTAAGGCCTAATAGGAGAGACAGACATTAATCAAATGATAACACAAATATATACATACAGACTATGAGAGAAGAATACAAACAGCCATGGGAGTATCCATGTAGTGACAGGTCTGGGTTAGGGAGGTAGGAGAGTCAAGGAAGGCTTCCCTGACCTTGATCTTTTTATAGAGTAAGTAGAATTAGGTTCTTAGAATCAGGGAAAATGGTTTGAAATGACAAGTGTGAAAGATTTGAAAAAGCTCATATGGGAAAATGTTGTCTGAAGTCAAAAAAGGATAAATATCTGAGGAGGAGGCTAGCGCAGCTACCACATGGGTTTGTAGTGGACACCATCAGTAGGGGCTGTGGTTCTTAAACTAGCAAGCCATTTCTGCTATGTGGCATAGGAATTCTCACATAGCTTGTGGGCAGAGAAAGACTGAGAATAATTAGTGTTGACTATGTTTTCAGAAAGTTTGAGCCAGATTTTATTGCTTGTGTGTGAGAGTCTGTTGTTTAGCAGGATGTTGTTTGCTAGGCTTTTGATGATAAAATTGACTTACCTTGACTTTTTGACCCACGCATAGTTGAAGCAAATCCTAGAAAATTCAACCTCGATGCAACTGAATTGAGTATAAGAAAAGCCTTCATTACAACTACCCGGCAAGTTGTCAGGGTAAGGAATATGATCTTATTATTTGTATAAGAAATAGCCGAATTCTTTGAACTCTTTCCCTTAATTGTGAACTAATAAGTCAACTCTGAAATCACTTTTGTTATGAATTAAATGCCAGTTTCCCACATACACTTTCTCTGATTGAAACAAAGAATTTTTTTTTAGTATTGTCAAGCTGATTTCTTAAAGAAAAAGGAGACTTTGCTACCCAGTTTATTGTCTCAAAAATGAATATGTACCTAGTTTAGGAGTCTTATTGTGGGTGCTTTCCCCACTTCCACTATGTAGATTGCCCCATCTTCCTTCTGAGGAGTGGCTGGTGGATTTGAACCACCAGCCTCCTGGTTAGCAGTCAAGTGCCTTAGGCACTACGCTACCAGAGCTCCTTAAGTTTGTATAGTTTATACTAATTATTTTGCGAACAGTTTTTACTGAAGAAAGCAATATTCTGGGCTTTGTGTAAATAATACTGATATTTTTTAGGTAATTTTTTTTTCTACATTTGTGGAATCATCTGTACAGTCTCAAAGATGAGACCATAAACTGGGAAGGTTACATTAATGGTCCATGTATCTGCTTCCTCCAAACTAGTTATCTATTCCCCCTTTGTTTCTTAGTATATTTATTTCTGGACGCAAGGAAGAATTACTATTGTAGAAACCATTTGGTTTCTTGATTGATTTGTAGTCACTTTGCATTGCTGTAGAGTGACTCTTACTCAGTTTGGATGGAGGCCTCTTTCACCATCTGAATTGGAACTTCTGGAACTCTTGAAATCAGTGTTAACATTTTATATACAACGGCTTGACAGCTTTTCAGGAGGTATCCAGAGGAAGCAAGCATCTATCAGATATAAAAAAGCAAAATAAGTGAACAAATCTTTAGTTTCAAATTATTTCTTTAGATAATAGTAAAGAACCTAAGAGAATATATCATATAGGTAAAATTTTGTGTCATTAAGATAACAGTTAAGTACCCTAATGTTATGTAAATTTGCCTTAACTTCAGAACAATTGAACCAGCCCCTACTTGCAACAACATATTCTTCATCACAATCACCTTCTCTTAAAGCACTGCAGCTTTTAAATCCTTGAAAAGGCTTCCAGCCTTTTCTTGCACTAAACCAAACCCCACTGCCATTGAGTTGATTACTCATAGCAGTCCCCATTGGGGTTGGTAAATCTTTAAGGAAGTAGATTGCCCAGTCTTGCTTCTGTGGAGTGGCTGGTGGGTTTGAACTACCAGCCTTTTTGTTAAGCAGTCAGATGCCTTAGGTACTGTGCTACCAGAGCTCCTTTTTTGCACTAAAGTAAAGCTAAGTGGCATAATGCCTGAGGCATTAGACTGCTAATCAGAAGGCTGGCGGTTCAGACCCACCAGCCACCCCTCAGAAGGAAGATTGGGCAATCTATTTCCGTAGTGATACTGCCTTGGATACCCAAGGAGGGATCACTATGAGTTGGATCCCACTCGACAGCAGTGAGTTTGGTTTTATCCACCTGTTGTGCCTTACCTACAAATTCGACTTAAAGACACACTTAGGAACAGGTCTCATTTGTAACCCTGGGGCTGCCTGTATGTTTTGTATTTTGAAACTATATGGCTAAGCTATTTGATTAGCATAACTAGATGTAAGAGAACCAGCTGTCTTAACATATGTACTAGAAAGCAGCTTCCTTGAATAAAAAGACTTGGTATCATACCAGTGCTAACATATGGCTTTTAAGAGTCATCTTAGGCAGGAACCTTGGTATGTGTTTGCCAAAGACTGTATCGTGTAATTTCCTTTTGAAATTATTTCAAATGATAGTCATTATCACTGAACTTTGAACATTCCTGTTCCTTGTTTTACTCAGTAGATGCCTTTCCATATACATGTAACTAAGTTATTTATTAATAAACCTGCGTTTTAATGGGACAGTAACCTTTCTGGGCCTCAAGTGCCCAATCTATTAAAAGAGCATTTGGATTAGAGTGCCTAAGGCACTTGACTGCTAACCAGAAGGCTGGCAGTTCAAACCCACCAGCCACTCCTCAGAAGGAAGATGGGGCAATCTATTTCCGTAGTGATACTGTCTCGGAAACCCAAGGAGGGGCCGCTATGAGTCGGGTCCAACTCGACGGCACCTAACAACAACAACAAAATTTCTGTTTCTAGCCAGTTGAAAATGCCATTCTGATAAGGAAGCCCTGGTGTTAGATGACTGATTTTTTATAAGGTAAATAAATTCCCCAATTATTTATTTTGTAAATATGATTTTGTTTTGTAACAGATTTTCAAAATGATATTTCTATAGATGGTAGTATTAAAAAGGTACCTTGAAATGAAGCATGTATTCCTGATGACCTTAATTACTTATTTGTTCTTTCTGCATTTACTTATTTGTTCTTTCCATATACATGTAAGGTAGTATGATGAAATTACAAAATTTGCAAATTGAAATTAATTATATCAAAAGTTGTTAGTTGTTATAATTGGGTGTAGAATCTGAAGTTTGTTTTTTACTATCTGAAAAGCTTTATTTAAATACATTCTTTGAAAGAAGTATCTTCAAGCAAGTCAGTACTTCAAAATATTACAGTCCTTTTAGAGTTAAGATCAAAATCATATTTAACCATATGATCCAACTGAATATTTTAGGTTTCTTTGTTTTGTTTTTTAAGCCCTGTTTTACCATCCTTATTTTAATTTATGACCCTTTGTTGGGAAGCTATTACTATTTGCCAGTGATTGACTAAGGGTACCTAACTGGTTTTTGCTGATGTGATTTTAATAAATTTTAATCCTATAGAAGGAAAAGAAGTAGCAGTGATGCGACCCTGTTTTTGGAAAAAATGCTTTGTATTGATTCCATATTACTGCATTGAGTTAAACAGTATTTGTGTGCAGGGATCACAAATTTATGTAAGCTCCTCTGTTGGCATTAGTGATGGGCTTTCATTTTAATGTTGCTCCAAAGGGAATACATTTTCACTCACTCTATTTTTAAAACAGTGTCAGTTATGCATTCTCATTCTTAAGCAGGGGCTTCAGTGATACTCCACAGATTTTTTTGCTTCCACCTGAAGTAAATCTTCCTCTTTTCTTCTCGATTAATATCCATTGGTTTATGTCATTAGTAAACCTCCCTTGTTTAAAGAGTCCTCTTGTGGATATTTTTCCAAGCATGCTTTAAGTTTGTGTAGTTTTTAACTGAAGAAAGCAATATTCTTGTTTTTGTATAAATAACATTGATATTTTTGAAGTAATCTGTTTTTTGTTTTGTTTTTCACATTTGTGGAGTCACCTATACTTCAGAGATTTCACATGTGAAATTTTTCTGTTGTGGAAATAGATCCCAGAACTCATTTTGGTTTACTTTAATAATGAAAGATTTTACACTTTATGGCAGAAGAATGAATGAATGCAGAGTCAGGAACTTGGAGTCTGGCCTAGCTGTGACCTTAATAAATTTTAATTGTGGCAAATTATTCAGTCTCTGTCAATCTCAATTTTTTTTTAATCTTTGAAATGATCCTCACTAACGTTCTTTGACTCTATTTTGATTTACAAAGGTGGTAAGAAATATGCGTGCACCCCCTGCCAAGAAAAAAAAAAAAACTGTTTCAACCCAAGAATTGCTTACAGTCAATTTTAAGTCAAGATAGAAATATCTGTGGTTAATCAGGAGGGGAAATATATCCAGTGTGGGCACAGATGACATTGGGAAATGAGACCTCTGAGTAGGAAGCCCTGGAATTTATGGTATCTCATTCATTCATTTCAGAAGATAGTGTGAAATTCCAGTGTGGAACAGAAATAGGAGCATAAATAACCAGGACATTTGTTGTTCTTTTGGCAGATGAACCATATTTTATTGGGACTAACTGCTTCTTGACTGTTGATTCTAAACTTCATGTGTTAGAAAGAAGATGAGTAATTATGTTTTGACATGACAGTTGTTACAAAATGTTTTAAACTGTTCAGTAACAGAGTTTAACATTCCAAATCCTAATATGAAGGTGATCTGTTGTGTGGTATGTGGAGACTTTAAACTTACATAGATAAAAAAACATCACAGGAGTTGAAATTTAGCTTCTTACCTACAGCTGAGGCTACATACATGATGATGGGCACCACAGCTGTTAAGAGAATTTACTGACCACAGGCCTGACACACAGACCCCACATTTTTTTTTTCAATTAAACAGAGAACTTTAAAAACTATAACTTTTAAGTACCTATTTCATTAAGGTAATTCATGCTTATTATAGCAAATTGGAAAAATCTTACAGAAAATCTTACAGGAAAAGTAGAAAAAGAAACCTAAACTCAAAATAACATACAAACATAAAACTTTTTGCATCTTTTCTTAGTCATCCTCTCCCCCCTCCAAATGCATGGCTGCTATATTTTTACACAGTTGTGGTCATACTGGTTTAATATTATTTTTTTTTAATTAAAAAATGGTACATACTACTTTTAAAATGCAAATGATTTTGATATATGAAAGGTGAAAATTCTCTTCCATTCTTTTAATTCCATTCCCTAGAAATAATCACTGTCAATGGTTAGTATATTTTTTCCCAGCCTTGAAATAAACAAATCATAACAAGAAATGATGATACTATTCTGTGATTTTTTCCTGTGAAAAAACATTGTGACCTAGTTCTGTGTCAATACAGATACATCAGTAGTAGTGCTATCCAGTAAAAATGTGATGTGAGCCACAAGGTGATTTTTAATTTTTGGCGTAGTGCCTAAGGCATCTGAGTAGTAGCTGTAAGGCTGTTGGTTCAAACCCCCCCCAGCCACTCCTCAGAAGGAAGGTTAGGCAATCTACTTTGTAGAGATACAGCCTTGGAAACCCAAGGAGGGGTCACTATGAGTCGAAGTGACTCAACGGCAGTGAGTTTTTGGAGTCACATTAAGTAAGTAAAAAGAAATAAATTAATATATTTTATTTTACCCAGTATATCCAGCTTTCATTGAAAATATTTATTCTGTATTTCGATTTTATT